TAAATAAGTGGTCTACAGTTGATCTTCCCGCTCTAAAACCGGTAGTGATGCCGCGAGACTCGAGACGAGACGAGACGGTCTCGTCTCGTCTCGACTTTTCGAGACGAGACTGTCTTTTGGTCTCGTCTCGTGAAGTCTCGACGAGACGAGACCAGACTCGGCGAGAGTCTCGTGTAGTCTCGAGTCTCGAGATTACACTTAAAGTATTTCTTTCATAGCTTTATTATTGGACGATTTTGGGCTATTTGAATATGAAATCAGTAAATTAAATATCACGGTTACTCTTTACTGTGATTTTTCACTAATTGCTTTTTCACTGTGGCAGTTTGGACTTTCGTTATAATATAAAAATGAAAACCATAAATACAGGGGTCGGAAAAATTGCGTAAAAGCTCTCCACGTAGTTGAGGACCCTTTGAGAAACTCTAGAAAAATAATTAAATTAAAAAAATCCTTCTTCAGCATTATTCTTGGTAATATGAAGAGGTAGATGTGAAAATTCACCTTCGAATTCTTCAGGTAATTACATGGGTATTTAATTTAATTCTCTGACATATTGTCAACGGGATATTTTCAGTGTTGCCAATTTTAATAAATATTAAAATGCAAATAACTTTCTTAAAAATGCCACTAGATTTTTTAAAGTATTTTTCTGGGGTTCCTTGTAGGGTCCTTCACCACGTAGAGAAGAGTTTTTACGCTATTTTTTGGACACCCTGTATAACTCAAGACCAGACGAGACCACTCGAGACGAGACGAGACTTTGGTACTCGAGACCGAGACTAAGTCACGGTCTCGTCTCGAGATGTCGAGACGAGACGAGACTAACCCTAAGTCTCGTCTAGTCTCGTCTCGCGGCACCACTAAAAACCGGCCTGTTCTTCTGCTTCACTATCTTTGTACTCGTTCTCTATTTGCTTTTATAAGTTTTCCATACACTCTGTTCAGCGTATTTGTTACTGCAATTCCTCGGTGGTTCTCGGATTTGTTTCTGTCTCCTTTCTAATATATCGTTGTTGAATTATTTTCTACTCTTCCGGTACTTCATGTTTATCTATGCATGTTTGTAATAGTTTTGTTAAATGTTTGTAGAGTTTATAGAGTTATTTCATTGATTTCTTTATATTACGTTGTATAAGGAAGACTTCTCATCTTCCTCATCAATTTCCTAGTTTCAGCGCTGATTCTTTTTTGTTTCTTTTTTGCTACTTTCTCTGGTACAACCGGGTCTAAGGTCGGGTTGTACCAAACAGTGATTTAGTTGAACTCTACTGGTACTTGATGTTTCCCATTTAATACGCATTGATGTCAGAAATCTGTCAAATTGTATATTTGTTGACAGCAGTTGACAGCAACGCATTTTAAATGGGAAAGATCAAGTCCCAGTATGTATAGAGTTCAACTGAACCACTGTTTGGTACAACCAGACTTTAGTCCTGGGGGCCAATTCTTGAAAGTGGTGAAAATATTCACCTGGTGAAAAATTTTACCACCTAATTTTCACCTGCCTCACTCGTTTTGTATTCTTGAGTCGTGAGTGAATTTACTTGAGGTGAATATAAAATAACACTTTGGCAACGTCGGAATATAGCCTTTTTCGAAGGAAAATTATTGAAAACGCCTACAATTCTTAACCTTACTTTTGTGTTGTGTTTTTTTTCCGCAACCGTCAACTGACCGGCGACCGCAGCAATTTAGTTTTCGAAAAATTTAAACATAAAATATTGCTATTTTGCCGTGTAAATTCAACAGTTGAACGAGATGTCTAAGAAATATTGGGGACATGCAACCACGAAGCAAAAAGAACCTTTAATTGAAGTTATGAACAATGATGACGAATGAGGAAAGGACGATTTTCAGATTCATTCATTCACAAAGTTGATATTCTTGTTGGAGCTTCTAGAAAAGGATCTAAAATTTCTAAAAGAAGGCGAACAAGAGGTTTGGTTAACCTGAATAATTTCTTGAACAAAAAATAAGTATTTCAAAAGGATTTTCTCGTCTATGTCTCATTCTATTTCCCCCGCCAACCGCTGCATCATCTATGATGTCTTCAATTTGAATAGGTTCATTAACAATAGGTTTGTTGGGACTTAGTTCAGAATCAGTTCTGAATTGAACTGCGCTTGCGCATTTGTTCATATGGAACATAAATAAACAAATGCGCATGAGCAGTTCAATAGGGCATGTCCATGTGACGTCACAAAAGAGTTTGACAGTCGCCCTGAGGTAAAACAAATCATTTATTTACATTCGTTTAGATTAGGCCGGTTATGTTTTATGCGGTTTTCACAGCTTTTTCACAAGTTTTGGTGTTATTTTGTTTTAAAAAAGTTAGAGCGGAGTGTTTGTGTTCCAGTCTATGTGGTCTTTCATCTAAAAGTTTGCTAGGATTTTCTATAATGGATTAAATTCAGGTTTTTTCCAACAAATATCAAAACCAAGTGTCACAAGAACAAATATATAAGTATAGTTACTCTATATTCAATCTATTTTTCTGTCAGATCTTCTCTTTTAAGAACATTAATCAATTTTTCTCTTCTCTCTTGAGCTAACAAATCAAACCTCCCATTGTTATTTAAAATTGAAGAAAACCAATGGAAGGATATTGTGTCCCTGCCATAATTAACAACTAAATAAACTCTAGGCATGTCCAAGAAACTTCTGGAGCACATAAAAGGTATTTATTTTAAAAAATCTAACTAAAAACTTAAAAAACACTGTAAATTATAGGGGTTTTCGAACGCTTGACCGGTAAATACCGCAGTCATGCCCTTGGTTGTCCTGGGTCACACTCTTTTGACGTTTGTTTGACAGTTTATGGTCAAAGCACTTTCAGAACGCTTGAAATTAGTTGGTTATCATTTTGGTTTTGATTTGTCAAATTTGTCTGCTTCTCCCTTCCCCTTAATCCCCTTGTATTTGTTTACATTTTAAGCTCTAACCAAACAATTATATTTTTATTATTTTCCAATTAATTTTCTATTTTCTGGTTCGCTCGTTTCTTTCAAAGATGAAGATGCATTTAGTGATCCTTGGGCTGTATCCATATCGTCGACGTTGAATATCTTTTCCCCCATAGTTCAAGAGGATTTGGAACCTTTCTCTTCTATCCATGATGATTATTTAAATTACAAATTTAAAATACTTAAACTGGGACTGGACCACTGGACTAACACAACCGCAAATGCAAATTGCAAATAACAAAATAAACAAAAAAGAAAAAGAAACGTTCACCATTAATTTTTTCAAATGTAAGTCAATTGTAATCAACATAAATGGTGGGAGGTGAAAAACAGGTCGAAAGTTGTGTAAATACCGGTAAATACCGCTGCTTGTCAATGTCGAAGAATAACGTCACAACGAAGACCAAGGGCTCGTTTTTAGGTCATGACCACGAATTACCGAACCGCTTAAATTAAAATGGTAAATACCCACAGTAAATGGTATTTACCGGTCAAGCGCTCGAAAACCCCTTTATCTTTGTTTTACCTCAAGGTGATTGTCAATAGTGTCAAACTGTCAGATCGTGTACTTGCCCTATTCAGAACTGATTCTATACTAAGTCCGAACAAACCTAATAGCTCGTTTTCCATACTTTATAATATAATAATAGGTTCACAAGCCAGTTATTTTATAGGAAATAGGAATTAAAATACAAAATCAGAGTACTCTGACAAAATAGTCAATAATTATTGACAATAAACAATTACAAAATACCGAATTAAGGTTAGAAATGCACGTTTTCACCGAAATGGATAATGCACACCTAACATGGGATTTTTGGGCTCTATGGATTTTGCTCATTTTTTGATATGTTGTAGAGGATTTAATTCTGAACAACCTTTAAATGGGACGAAATCTTGTAGGTATTACGGTCTTTGAGATATGAGCGTTGGGAGATGAACTTTTTTGCGGCTTTTTGTGTGGAGAGTATACGAGATACTGGTGATACTGGTGTTTATCAGTCAAAATATTGACAGGTTCACATATATCAACTTAGGTTAAGGCCGGGACCGCACTGCGGTCAATGTTGGCGCCAGTGTGGTCCCGACCTTAGCTTATATTGACATTTGTTAGTGACGTAAAATATGTCGACCTTTCAAAATTTTGACTGATAAACACCAGTTTTTCGTATACTCTCCACACAAAAAGTTGCAAAAAAGTTCATCTTTCAACGCTCATATCTCACAGACCGTAACACCTACAAGATTTCGTCCCATTTAAAGGTTGTTCAGAATTAAATCCTCTACAACATATCAAAAAATGGGCAAAATCCATAGAGCCCAAAAATCCCATGTTAGGTGTGCGTCATCCTTTGTAACATTCACCACCCTTTCCGGTGGTGAATCTATTCACCCAATAAGAGGTGAAAATTTTCACCTTTTTTTTTCAAGAATATGATTATGTACATTTTTGGTGAAAGCTTAAAGTCTGTTTTTTTTTTAAAGATCATTCCCCAAGTCAAAAATTTAGTAACTATGTTGGCAACACAAGCCTTTTCTACATAAAAAATTTAAAGCATTGACAATTTTACATTGTATTGCCAACATAATGTCATTTTGACTTTTATCTTTAAAAAAAAAACAGATTTTAGCAATTTCACCCGGTGAATATTTTCACCACTTTCAAGAATTAGGCCCAGGGGTACAAATAATAAAATTAAATAGTCATGAGATGAGTTTAGGGCCGATACTTTTGCTCTCGATTAACGAATTTGATACATTGTCAAAGTTTTGCATGGGCCAAGGTCTATAGGTATGATGTGGTTATAGAGCACATTCAAAGCCCTGATTATTTTTAACCGCTGTCAAATGAGAGCAAAAGTACCGGCACTTAGAGGACCAAACTATTTATAGAACTCTGCATCCTTCTTGAATTTTTCAGATCACAATTTTTATAATTTTATTCCGAATGTGAAGCCCCCCTTATTGAAAATAAATTAGTTTCATGACACCTCGTATAAATACCAAACTCCATAGCAATAAGAAACTCTCAGTAGATGTTGTTAGGCACATTTGTCAAAATTTTCCGTCAAAAATAATTGAGAACAGTGAACACAAACATGGGTGATGCAGACAAAGGTCTGAAAATCTTTCAAAGATCTTGCTCCCAATGCCACACGGTAGAAAAAGGTGGTAAGCACAAAGTGGGCCCTAATCTACATGGATTTATTGGCAGAAATACTGGCCAGTCTCCCAATTTCACATATTCTGATGCCAACAAGAATAAGGGGATGAAGTGGACTGAGGAAAATTTAAACGAATATCTCAAGGACCCAAGAAAGTTTATGCCTGGGACAAAGATGGTTTTTGCTGGACTGAAGAAGGAACAAGAAAGGAAGGATTTGATAGCTTATTTGAAAAAGTCATGTGGTTAATATTAAAATAATGGACAGCTTAACTCGATAAATTAGGATTTGGTTTTTATTATCGTTAATAGGTACTGGAAATAATTTTTATAAATTATTGTTTTTCCTAAAGTTTTTAAGTTAATTTAAAAATTCTGGGTAGGTACTTACTTACATAAGGACTACCTGTAATAAAAAACACAATAAACAGTGATTCCAAAAATAAATTTTATTTTATTGAAAAAAGATTTCTGTGATTTTTACAAAAAATAAACCGGGACGTCCTATCACACATTCACAGGGACCAAAAAATATATGTAGTTATGTATACATATAGAGATTCTATATACATATCACTAAAGACAAAAACAATAACACCTAAAAATTATTAATATTATTATTAGAAAAATACTAATAAATGCATTAAATTGGTACTCAAGTTATTTTATTTACAACTTTTTTTTGAAAAATAAGCTGCCCTAACTCAAAGAAAGCTTTCTAAGTACCTCTACAACTAATTATAATCTACTTTAATATTATTATAATATTTTTTGCTTTTATATATTCTGTTGTTTAGTAAAAACTCATTATTGTGATGTTAAATTTTAAGAGCGCATGATCCTAGTTTAGCAGGCACAGTCGCAAGCACAACGTTTCACTCTCTTTTCTGGAAGCAATGGGTTGACTGATCTGGCAACTCTGGATTTTGGCTCTTCGACTGAGACAGAGCGGGGTTGGACATCTAAAAAAAATAAAAATAAATGGTTATACAATACATACATAAGAATAGTCAAAATAGGTCTGAAATAATAAGCTTTTGGAGCTTAATATTTTCGCTTTAGATTTGTTAGTGTCAAAGACGACAACCATTTTTCTGCCTTCGAATTGTTAATATAGTTACGACCTTCCAGAACAAAGGAAGTGTTGTGGAGCAAGCCGAGCAAATATGTAATCTCTTTTTAATAATTAATGTGTCTACTCACAGTGTGGACGAGTTTCTTCCTCAGAAGCAGCAGTCTGTGTTTCCTCTTGTTCAGGCACCTGTTGTTGCATCATATTCACAGGAATGTTCACAGGCAACCTTCTCACATATTCTTGCCTGTTGTTATCTGGAGCTGGAGTTTGTTGCATTTCTTGACTTTCGTCAGAAGATTCATCAGACGAGTCTTCTTCGGAAGATTCGGGTTCGTGGACGGCAACAATAACGCGGTCATTGTGAGGCAGTCTGTTTAATTGAGTCAAAACTTCCTCGGGAAGTGGGAAATTAGGAGGCATCCTTTGGGCTACTTGTGGCATTTGTTGCGCCCTTTCTTGAGGTACTTGGAATACTGGAGGTTGAGGGTTTTTTTCACGGGCTTCCATGATTTTTTGAGTGATAATTTGTTGGATTATGTGTTGAATGATTGGGTTGGGACTGTTATCAGGCTGCTGCTGTTGTTGAGGTTGTTGCTGAGGCTCGACATGGATTTGAACTTGTTGTGGAACAAACATCATTTCAGGTCTCTGTTGTTCAACTTCTTCAGACCTTTGCTGCGAATCCAATGACTGACTGACAGGCTCGAAGTTTTGTCTGATAGCAATAATTCTTTCAATTGGTGGTCTGGGTTGTTCCATCATTGGCCTTACTTCGATGGGCCTCATCGGTGGGCGCATACCTTCCATATTTGGTCTGAATTGTTCAATATTTGGTCTGAATTGTTCCATATTTGGTCTAAATTGTTCCATTGGTGGTCTCATGTTTTCCATTGGAGGTCTCATTGGTACCATTGGTGGTCTCATTCCTTCCATTGGGCGGACCGGACGGATTTGGAAACGAGGCTGCTATATAAAAAAAAAACAGGTTTTAAATCTATCTAGAAATGGATATTCGCAATACTTACTTCTTGGGGTTGCATTTGCTGGGGCATATGGGTTTGGAAAGCCGTGTGTGGGATTGGAATCATCACTGGTTGGATCATGATAGTTTCTTGTTCGTTGTCATCATCACTGTCGTCTTCTTCATCTGATTGTGGTTTTTCTGGTTTTGGAGGTTCAGCACTGAAATAATTATTAAATTTTTTACAGACAATTTCGAAACAATAAGTCACAACGATTTGATTAATATTTTCCATTTTAGGCCTGTTACTTAATATGGTTTTTACGCTTCAAGGTACCCGCACATTCAACAAAGTAGCAAGTAGGTACTTTCACTAATATTACTACCATTTTCCAATTTGAAAATTTTGAAACCTGAACGTTGATTGGATGCATTTTAAAGGCACCATTGCATTTAGTACGATTAAGTTCTTACGCAATGGAAAAAAATAATTATGTATTCGCGTCAGTTTATGGGTTATGACTTTATATGGAAGGAATGTGTATACCAAGTGGACTAGTTAAAACGATTCAGGGCCTTTTGCAAACCTTAACGAGAAGAAACAATCATTCTGGATTTTTGTCTCTCAAAGCTAGATTTTTCTCAATGGATTCCTAGTAGGTATTGATGATTTTTACATTAAATTACGCGGTGATAAAAAAAATGAAATTGCGCTCCATTGTTTCTTGTTACGTTGAGCTGTTAATATTTAGAAAGTTCATTTGGCATTCATTGGCATGTTCCATTGTATGTCTTTCATAATTTGTAAACAATACAAAACTTCCTGCATTGTTCCAAGAGTACTTAAAATTTGCACTTGGGATGAATTTCCGGGAACTTGAATGTATAATAATCAATTTAATGTGAACGAAATAATGCATAAAAAGAATTATTTATTCAATTACCTTTGCATGTTTCCGCTTTCACAGATGATAACCATTCTTTCACCACTAAGTCTTTCGTATCTGGGGTCAGTGGTCAGGTTGACACCGAAAGGCAATCTAATAGTTTTGGGTTGATGATCAACGACTTCTTCTGCACGTTTCTTTTCTACGATGCAGTTCATTTTGGACCTAATGCAAAATTATTGTTTAATTTATAAGTTGCCTAATGGTTGAAATATTGACAATAATCTACCTTTGGTTTTTGGCAATCAAAGTTCCGGCCAAATCGTCAAAGTCCAACTGCAAGGGTAATTTGAAATGAACTTTACGATCTTCTTCAGAATCACTTGAAGCAGACGAGTCACTGCTGCTGCTATCTGAGCTATCGACAGAATTGTCGTCTATGTCTTTGGTGTTTTTCTTTGGTGCATCTTCAGAGAGTGATTGACGTTTGTTGTGTTTTGGTTCGTCCTGAAACAAGAATAGAAAAGACTGTAATATTTCAATTATTTTTTTTCTTATCGAATATTAACAAGATCATCTCGATGAGATGTCTATCACAATGAAAGTGTATTTTATGTTTTCCCTTCCAAATTGATTAGATACCTATTTATCAGTTTCCATTCATCATTATGCCTTATAAAATAGAATGGAATCTATAAACGGTAGGTAAATTCTAGGATGATATCGAGTTAATTAAACCTGTGTTTTGTTATCTCTAAAGTTATTTTGTTACGATAAATTTATCATTTACGTAACATGCTCCCTTTTGGGTGTACTCTTCCAATTGGCTGAACTGGTTAAAATGTAGTTAAGTATAAAAAAACACAGGATCGTTTTCCTGTGGGGTTTGGTTTCTAAAACGTTCTCTTTCCTCGGCAGTAGTCTAGCCGGAAAGTCGATTTTATTTTTAATAATTTTTGCTTTGTATTTTTAGATTCTCCCTCATAGATTTTTCAATATATTTTGCTAATCAATGCATATTATCATATCATTGTTAAGTTTTTACCTGATAAATCTTATCTTATCTGTTCTTGAAATATAAATATTATATTTTAATTTTTTTATCTTAATTGTGGGCTTTCATTTTGTGCGATTGGTTGTGCCACTTTTTTCTGAGGTAAGTCAATTCAGACTTTTGGACTAATAAATAGGTACTGCTGCTCTGGTTTCCAGAATTAATTTTTAGTGAGGGAATATTGGACAATTTGCTCTAAATAGAGCCGCTGAAAACCAAATTTGTGTGTCCACCCCTATCAACTATTTATTGAATCCAGGCAGCGGCCTGAATAGCCATTTTCTGTTTGAGTCCGTCAATTATTATCTCGACTAAAGGGTGTAATTTTTTTATTAGAAGTCCAGACAGGTCAAATATTCACTTAAAAAGTTTTAATTAAAACATCTCAAGAATTTTGACATATTCTGGATTTGATTGATTTCACCGTCAGGTTTATCTTGTAGTATCTATAGTAGCTACCTTTATTTGAAAGGAAAATTTTGTCTTTTTGGGGGAGAATCTAAAGATTTAATTTCTTATTGTTTTTATCCTATTTTATTCATATTTTTGCCTGCTAGTGCTACTGCCAGAAAAGCAGCATTTTGCTCAATCATAACGAGAATTTTAATTTAATCTTGCTATTATTATTTTAATTTTACTATTATCTTGCCATTATTTTCAATTATTTAATTGTATTATTTTTATATTAAAATATTTTTTTTTTTTTTCAATTTGCAATAGCTGTTCATACCTGATTCTGTCGGAAGGGAGTGCCTGAACAACAATAGTTTTATATTAAATTTCTATTTAAATTTTTTTTGCAAGACACTCACTTTTTGACAGAATTCAGGGATTTAATATTCCAAATATTGGTGAACCTGATACTGCCTTATTCTTTTCTGGGTACCTACTCGACATAGAGATCACTGTTTGGAGTGACGTCACCCCAGCAATCTATCCTCTTCCTGGATACAGGAAACAACACGAAGAGCTCCAGTTCACGATAGTGAAACCCAAACACTCATTGAAGAGCTCCGGATTGGAAAGGTACATTGTATCAGATTCACCGGAAAAACCAAGCTGTCAACTGTCATGTTTTAAAGAAAGTGGCGTTGTTACTATATTATTAAAGACAGAACTTGTTAAATATCAGATAAAATTATTGTTTGTTGGATTTTGAGTGGTTTCATTTGCACATAAAGGTTATCTTGTCTTAAAGTTCAAATAACTAATTTATTTGTAACAAATTGGCGCCCAACGTGGGGCACGTTGTCGATATAATGCTGATGGTTTTCAAAGACACCCCAGTTCTCCATTAAAAACTAATAAATCTCAATTAATTGAAGAAACTCTGACCTCGTGGGTATTTATGTTAAAAACGCACAAACCGAATAAAGTTAATTCAATTACATTACTGAAGGCTTTTCTTATAGATTGTAGGTCACCAAAGTTGCACATTAGTCAAGCTACTGGCTTTATGGATTTTATGTTATATCCTCTTACTTTTTGCATGAGCTCCGATCATATGTTGAGATTGATAGGTAATAAAATAAATTTTTGTAATTTTAAAAGATTAAAATGAATTAATGGCAATTGTTATAATAAATCTGCACCATTATCAGCTGTTGTAGTCATTAAACATTTTATTTTTCTTGGATCATGCATCATATATTATAATAGTGAAAGTCAGTTTAATGTAAATTTTTTTTCAGAAATAAGGTCTAATTTCTATTATTTTGGCGTTAATCTATCTTTAAAGAGATTAATGGTGCTTTAATTGACTAGATATAGGTATTAATATCTTTTGACACTTTTTAGTTATTCAGCTTCTTTTCCAATAGATGGTAAAGATTCTTGTATTTCTACTTCAATGTTACAAATTTGATCCTCAAGGTTTCTAGCTATATAAGCTAAGTTGATGTAGGCATGATTTTGTATTCATATGTATGGTTCGGTTCCTCCAAATGAAAACAACAGATATATCTCTCGATGAATCACATAACATAGATAAAAAAGTTACTTATATGTATATCCATGGCCTACAAACAGCACTGTTATTTCTTACTGCATTATTATTATCCTTGATGCAAAGAAACATAAAAAAAACAGTAATTTTCCATGATTATTATACTGATAGAAGCTGCTTTAAAGGTCAAACCACAACAGAAAATATTCCATAATTATTAATCTATTAATCTGCTACCTTGAGCAGAAGATTTTATATATTTTTTTTTATAAAAGGCGGAAAATTAGAAATAGAATGAAATAATGAGTTTATAATCTACCATATACAATTTAAGAATATTAAGAAATTAGCTTATAGTAGGTACCAAAATTTACGTAGTACCTATGCTTTAACTAGGAACCCACATACTCCTTCCTTGGTAATTGAGTTTATGATGATTTGTAAAAAGGTGACAATAGTTTATGTTATAACAGTTTCTTTTGTTCATAGTCCATTATTTCTACACAAACATTTAACGTGGGTGACAGACTCGAAAAAAAAAAAAACTCTCCAATTATCCTCCGTTCTTTTTTTGACAAACAATTTTAAAAAAATGCCAATGTTCGCGTGCAAGAAGATCCATGTTTGCAATTGAACGTTTTCACGATTGAAGAACCAACCAGCGATGGTGAAAGCGAGAGAGGTCTTTGCTCTGCCACACGAAATCAGGTCAGACATTGCTAACAGCTGATGTGCAGTTCTTGAATGTATGCAAGGTTTGTTTTAGCAATGAATATGGTTCAATTAAATAAAGTGTACTGATTTGAGCGTGTGATTTGAGACGTGAGTTGAATCTGACGTTAATTGACTGAATGTAAAATATATTAGAGAGGGCTTTATAGGCCAGAATTTACAATTATCTGGGAAGGCAGATGCATCAGTGATCGTCTATCTTTATGTCATATTAGGTACTGTTCCAATTTGTCAGAGGGAAAGACAATTCAAGCCTTTTAATTTGAGATTGTAATACAACATGCATTAAATTAGGTTCTGCCCTCCTCCAACAAAATGGAACGAAAGTATTTTTACTTGCCTCCAGCAATTTGTTGATTCACTTAATTTAAGTTCAAGTTCCAGCAATTAAATATAAATAGTAAATGCGCAATAACTCAATCAATATTGGTCGCTCATTATTATGGTAGGTCGAAAGTACAACCTTTTTTAGTCAGGCAAATACTGAAATTGAAATGTCATCTTTATTGAATGTATGCACTATATCAAATAAATGAAGTTTTTAATTTTATAAGATTTGATATTTTGTTTATTTTTATTTACACCCACATGCCAGCAAAGAAAAACAATCGTTTCTTAAATATATCATGATGTCATTTATAAATAAACAGTAACAATCTTCAAGGTTTTTTCGCCCAGCAGGAAATGTAACAGGTTAATTCTAATTGATATTTTTATCATTGGAGATTTGCAAATAATGTTGATGTTTTTTCTTTTAATTAGAGAAGTTATGGCAGACATCATACCAGATAGAGGACAAATACTGGAAGAAACTGAGTCATTCTATGCAAGCTTATGCAGGAAAAATATCACCAGAATATTTGTTGAAAAATTTTTTGGTGACAAGTATCACATTCAAAATTATATTTATCTGAAGGTGACCACAAATGACTTTTTAAACCGCTTTCTGTATCTGTAAGTTTGGGAGGGTGGCGTTCTATAATACTTAGGCCACAGTAGATCTATTGTTCATCATCCAGCCTAGCGATTTAACCGAGGATTTAACATGGGAAATGACGTCGCTGAGTGATGCATTTGATCTCTGATTTCTCTTCTTCTTGATTGAAGTGTTGCTAAGATGTAACCTGAATAAATGTTTGTTTAACTGATAGTCAAGATGTCGGTTATTAGGCGTAGCCTTTTGCTGGTTAATGAATTTCTAGCTCGCTGCAGCTTTATCAGGGTAGCTTAACAGTTCCTTGGATAAGTTGCAGCCAATAGTATTGTCCCAGCGCTTTTTGAAAAGGGTGAGGGAGCGTTCTTTGATCATATGCGACATGGTCAGCCCCACGAAGGGCTGCGATCCATTGAGAAGGCTGTAGCCTGGCAGTCCTCCTAGCCAGAGCATTGGTAACTCGATTACTTTTGCAGTGATCTTATCCTTTGATCCAGCTGACTTCCACCGTGTTTTTTTTATCAACGTCTCTGTTAGGGTACGGTGGCAATCATGTAATAGTTCTGACATGAGTTGGGGTTGATGGCCAGAGTGTATTCCGTGCACCATCTTTCTATAATTCGAAAAGCATCTTGCATGCGTTCGCAGAGCGAGTTTTCGAATTTACCACCTCTTTGCAAGATGACTACGACATCTGCGTGAGCTATCGTGTAGTGGATGTCATTGTTGTCCAGACCCATGTTCCACAGAAGAGGTGATAGCAGGCTTCCCTGCGGGCAGCTTCTTGTAACCATAATGTTGACTTCCTGCAAACTTTTCTGTAGGATTCTTTTGGAAAGCAT